AATTTGTATAAAAAGAATTTTTTAACACAAATTACTCATTTATTATGAGTTTTTATTATTTTTAATTAATATAAGGTATTTAGAAGAGTTTCTATAAAATTCAAATTACCTATTTATTATGAGTTTTTTAATAAAAGGAAATCTAATTGAATAAGGAATATTTAAAGAAAATAAAAAGAATTTCTATAAAACTCTTACCACAAATTACGTATTTTATTTTCTAAAAAACCAAGGGTTCTATTCCAATTACTTATAATTGGTATTGAGAAGTTCAAAAACTCTATAAGTTTACTTTGGATTGTAATTTTTTTTTTTTCCTTTTTTTTTTTTTTTTTTCGGTTCATTCTTATTTTATTAGTTTGAATTAGGGTTTTAATGTTTTTGTGTTTCTGTTAGACTTTGATTTTGAATTAAATTTGTTACTGAAAGTTTTTGATATGTTAATTTTTTTAAATTTTTTTTTTTTGGTTCAATCTTAATTTATTGTTTTGAGTCATACATGGGGGGTTTCAATGTTTTTGGCGTTTGGGTTGGACTTGAAAAAGTTTTGATCTTTTCTTCAATTTTTTAAAAATTATTTTCAAAAGCATCATGATATTTTCTTTTAATATACAGTTTATTAATTAATTAAATTGGTGCTCTTATAATCATAAATCGTTATTTCAAAATTTGGCTTTACAATTTGGGTTGCTAAGTTGTTGATATGTAAAATTTCACTGGTTGTTTTTTTTTTTTTTTTTTTTTTTTTTTTTTTTGTGTTTGGGTTGTACTTCTTGATTTTGAATTGAATTTGATGCTGAAATTTAGTGAATTGAGTCTGGATTTTGATATTATTTTAGGAATTTAAAATTACACCTATCAATAATTAAATTCCTATTGAAAAGTTTAATTAATAATTATTATTTTTTATCTTTTTTACATGTCAATTTTATTTTTATTGATCAGTTTTAGAGTTTTGCTAATTATATTTTATAGAATAATTTTTTAATTTATTATTGTTTTAGATTTTGCAATTATCATTTTAAAAAATAATTATTTAATTACTTTATTGAATATTAATTTTAAATTAGATTACTAATTCTTTAGAAGAAATTGAGACCATCACTAATTCTTTAGACGAAATTGATATTTTATTATCAAACACACACACACACACACATATATATATATATATATAAATCTTCTTTACATATATTCCTCTGTAGAAGTTGTTACAAGTTACCTTCTTTTCATTCTTTGTGAGACATTAATTTTATTAAGCAGGTGGCAGCAATATTGATCAACCTTTGGGCCTACGTGAAGCACACACCAAAATTAATATGACCATCGACACTTTACCAATGCTTGTGCCAACGCCGCCCAAGCCCAACAAGATATTGGCAGCTATTAATTTCTACTTGTTCGTGCCCAACAGGGTATCCTATGCCACTATTACAGCTATTAGTTTCTTCTTCTTTTGTTTTTGGGTTAGGCTGATTATAATATTGCCAGTGCTAGGTAAACCAAGCCCTCCAATATTTCATCTTCATTCACTCTCTATTAACGTCTCTCGTATTCCTCCCTTTAACGGGACCTCTTCACACGTAAATAATAATAATGTGATTATCCGTTGGAATGTTAGTTTCGATGTTCGATACCCTTACAAGTATCTAAAAACCATTCATGATCAAGCCATTAATGTTTCAGTCTTCTACAAAAAGGTTAATCTATCTACCGTTGCTATCTCACCTTTCTACCAGTATGAGTTGGGGGAGGATCAAAGATCACTAGAATAGGCTGCCTTATTCGTGGCCAATGAAGATATTTTGGAGGGAGATTGGTCAAAAAATGGCGCTGTAGTGAATTTTACAGTGAGCATAGATAATGCTATGAGTGAGTCTTATTTCGCCACCATACACATACTTTCCCATCAATTTAGATACGAGGTTCACTTGTGAGGATGTCACAATCATTGATAACACAACAACAACAACAACAACAACAACAACAACAGGCACATCAATGTTGAGCCATCACTCCAAGCAATGCAAGATCCAATATAGCAACCAAGTATTCAAGTATTTGGCACAAGCCCTCGTTCCCGAGAATGTCGGATTGAAGCCTCGCTCATGATTTTGTTTAATGTAGTAGCATCTAATATTTAATAGATTATGTTGTACAATATAATTCAAAGGTTTTGTTTAATGTAGTACGTAGCATCTAATATTTAATTTTGCTGGAATTGATTCTACTTCATGCATTATTGAAAGGATTCCATTCACTCTGTTGGCCTCACAAACTGGAGCTCCTGGTAGTGGTCTTTTTCTCTTCTTCTTCTTCTTCCTCTTCCTCTCCCTTGTTCATATTTGAAAAATCGATCCATTGTATTTGACACATGATTTAAGGGTTTGTGTTATTACTTTCTCAGAATTTGGGATATTACAACTGTAGTTGTTTAATCTTGAAATTAATATAGCAGTATCATTGTTAATTTGAGGGTTGGGATAGGGAATTATTATTTTGGAGGGTGCATAATGCTGTAAAGCATCTCCCTTGCTACTGAATATCTGCACTACTTGAAATGTTTCCTTACTAGGAATTGATACATATTATACTACTTGTCTTCTTTGATTATACTCAATATAATAGTGACTTCCATTACACATTTTAATGCATTACATAGTGCAGTTTCATATGCTTCTATTGCTCATACAATCAACATAATATATATATATATATATATTGGTCACAAAATTAATTGAAACACTCAAAAAAAAAAAATTCAATCAGAATACTTGGATGAATTTTTAATACCTAAGACAGCTCTTATATTATATGTACATCCCCTCCAAGGAAGCAACTTATAATGGATAAACATTATATGACATTAATACCATTTTGCCTCATGTATATATGTAGGAGTACTAAAAAATAGGAACTCGGCCCATGTTTTGCCTGCCTTTTACTTATCTCAGTATTGCTGTAGCAAAATTGAGACCTATTTTGACTTGTTATATATAATTTATTTTCCTTTTCCCCGCGTTTGCATATTTTTCAAGTACTATTCTCATTTGCAATTTATTTCTAACTTTAAATCAAAATTTAGAAATTCTGAGTTCAATATCAGGTTTGGTTTGATAGAATGAAATAATTTTGTTTTCATGCGTGTGTACAAGGTTGCTTGCATTGTTTCGAGAGATGATACATACCGGAAATATTGTCTTAATTGTCTTTCACTTTGCAATGTATCTTTGAAAATCCACCTTGTTTGTTATGTCATTTTAACTAATACTGAAACTAACACCAACCGGAATTAGTAATTTACTTCTCTATCCATCTAAGCCACCTTATTCCCACCATAATTTTTTATTGAAATCAAATTCCTTCAACTATAATTCCTAACTTCTCACTCTTAGAGTACCGCATTTCCACCATACCAACCTTATTTTCACCCTAAACCTTCTAAGAAATCGGTGAGAAGCTAGAAATGTGTGGACACATGAAATCCTAAAAGACATACGAGTGTGAAAGAGGTCCTAAAGGGCATATGAGCCTAAAGGATGAGATAAGTGTCGAAATGTGATCCTAAAGAGCATTAGAGTGTAAACAAGAAGAGATGAGATGAAAATAGGTCCTAAAGGATGAGAAAAATGTTGAAATGTGATCCTAAAGAGCATACGAGTGTAAAGAAGAAGAGATGAGATGAAAAAATGTCCTAAAGGGCATATGAGCCTAAAGGATGAGGTGAGTGTCAAAATGTGATCCTAAAGAGCATAGAGTTGATGGGAAGATGTGTGAAAAGTGACTAAAATGTGATGAAAAATGACCTGGTTCAAGGCATCTTTTGAAACAAAGGAAGATCCTAAAAGAATGACAGTCGTCGAGGAGTCCTAGGAAGATGTGATGAAAATGGCCTCATTCAGGAGGCAAAGTCGAGAGATAATGATCCCAGTACATATAAGCCTATGCGAGTATACTTTATCAGCTAGAACAAGGACTCCACATATTATGGGATGGTTGCTTAACTTTGTCTAGGATGTGACAATCAAAAGATTAGAGTCTGAAGTTTACTAGGTGCAATAAAAGTTCATTTGACACAAAAAAAATGATTCTGAAAATTGGACATGACAACAGGTATTCATGTATGCATATGTACACATAGATATTCAAGCAAAAATGTATATATCCATATTACAATAATAGCAGATGGAACCTTATAATTTTCATTTGTAATGGTAGAGAAGCATGAAAGACATATATATACCATCAGAAATCTTTCATAAAAGCATTAAATTTCTGGTAATATGATGATCACGTTTCCAGTTCTAAAAATGTGAAAAGAAGAGAACCTCAAGTCAGTTTGATCAGCTACTTAGAGTGAGATGATTAATTGCGAGAAAACAGAAATCACAGTCAAAACAACACCAATTATTTCTCGAAAACCTAGCGATTTTTCCCAATTTTTATCTCTGTGTGCGCGTGTATATTCTTCTCCTTCCGAGTGTGTGTAATGTGTGTGTTAGTGTGATTGCCTTAGCAGCTTTGGTCACTGAAGAAGATGAAGATAGTGACCCCATGGAGTCGGAACTTGTTTAGACTTCAGAACACCACCAAGACCCAATTGAAGGCTCAGACTCATCTGGGTATGATGAAGAAACCTCAGATGAGAAGACCCAGTTGTTGAATCCACCACCAGTGCCGAGGAATTTTGCAACAGTGGCTGAGTTACGGAGGGAATTGAATTTTGAAGAAAAATTGAATTTTTTAGGGATTTTGCCGCTTGATATGAATTAGGGCAGAGGTTTGAAAGGGTTTCAAAAAAAAAAATTGGGTGAAATTTTAAATTTTTGGGTTGAATGAATTGGGTTTACCGTGGGGTTAAAGACAAAACGACGTAGCTATACTAAAGCCTCAGCTATGTGGCATGATCCTGGCCCTAGGATCTGAAACTGGAGGGACTGGACGAACAGTTCAACGGAGGGGATCAGGCTCCATGGATTATTACTTGTTAGAGAGAGAAATTGATAGAGTAGAAGAAACGGGAGGAAAGAAACAGAGGGAAAACCCTAGCCCTCTTCTTCGTCCATCCTTCTTTCTGAGTTTTGGAGACGTATAAGTGGGATTTTGTAGGAAGTCCGATAACAAAAATTGCTCTTCTCATCATTCTCTACGTGTCTACATATCAGAAATTTCGATTTGGAGTAATTTGGTAAAGTGGGTCTAACTTGTGAGGGAGGAGTGTACTATTAATTTTTGTTTTGCTTCTATTTCATGTTTTGTGTACAATTTATGTTTTGCCTTTCCTATGTGATTATGTGATTTAACATGATTATAATTTTGTAGTTGTTATACATGTAATTGTCTTTCTTGTTCAATGCTAGTTGATTATGAATTGTTTTGTGAAAAATTTCTGTCTTTGTTTTGTGAAAAAGTTGTCTTTGGTTGATGAGATTGCATGGATTGATTGGGAAGACATAAATCTGAATTTTATTATTTCAGTTGAGATTATTGGTGTTCTTGTTGTGGAAAATTGATTGGTTGATGGGGTTGTGCCGTAGGAGCAAGAAGGGCCCGGAGTCCTTGGGTAAAAAGCCCTAGACTTGGTCAAGTGGTGTTGAATCCCATCGCGTTAGTAACCTGTAAATTATCAACAATTGTGTTACGGGGCTTGCTTGAGAGCAATTGGATGGTAGTATGGACATTGCCCGGAATTGTGTGATTAAAGTGTGGTTCATGACTTGAGATTTACATGATCGTATTTTTATGTGCTTAAGGATGGTGTTGTGACTTGGTGTTTTTTTTAGTTCAGACTTGTAATAGCTTACGTTTTTATCTAACTTATTTAGTTTGGATTGTGATATGATTAATTTTATTATTACGATTGGCACTTGTCAAACCAATTAATTGGGATAATATTAGAGTAGCTAATGGATTTTGAAATTATAGTTATTTGCATTTATATTAATGAGATGAATCTATTTAAATTAGTGTCAACGGAGTATGAATGTTGTTTCATTTGAATCTAGAAAAGAATTGCTCCCATTTTTAAGATATTGCTTAGTGAAGTTAGTTTTTTTAGGAGAAAAAAAAAAAACTGTATTACCTCTGTCAGATGACTGTTAGTGCATCTAGTAATCATTACCTTTATATTTGTATAGCATATAATGTAAAGTAACAGGTGAAAGATTTTGCATGTTAAGGTGCCATAGTTATTGGGTCTTGTATCACTCACTGGTCCCATATGCTTGGTTCAGGATGTTTATATATATTTGTGTGTATGTTGATTCATATAGTTAAAGGGAATGACTACTGGACTACCTCCTAGAAAGTATTCACTTGACCACTGCATCATATGTAAATGTATGTGTAGACAGAGGTGCCTCGGTGGTTGTGCCTTTGGATTAGTCCCATATGGGAGCAGCTACTTTGTTGGCAATTAGCGCCTTGTTAAAAAAAAAAAAAAAAAAAAAAAAAAAAAAAAAGAAAGATAAAAACGGTCACTATCAGATTGTAAAAAAAAAAAAAAATAGTAGTAATGGAATAAAATAATAAAGGTAGTTCGTGGCTTAGGGTGTTGCATTAAATTTTATATTTTAATTATTTTTCCTTTTCTTGCAAACTGGGTTTTGAAACCGGGGCGTGACATTTAGAGTATCAAAGATGAGTTGAAAATGAGGCTAAACAAAATAGGCCTGCAAAGCAAGATGAAAAAACAAGTAGAAGTGGTACTATTTATTTCTTTACCGTTGGGATCTCATTATACAAACTGTTTCCTAAACTATGTTTTGGCATGTGCAGGTTCACCTAGTAAAGGAGCTCTTGAAGGTAGTGTTTTGCAATCTTCTCAAGAGCTGGGTGGGCAAGGTAAGCGGCCAAACAGCTCTTTTCTGCCACTTATGGATACCTTCTAAATGAAGGACAAAAAGGTATAAATCTTGTTGGTTCTATTTATTTAACCAAAGCGGTAGTTGCTATACATAAAGGTAGTTTAATGCTTTTGATTGTATTTACAGACTACTGGTATTAGGAAACGGCATGTTCTAAAGGAGGAGGATGGAGAATTAGTGTAAGTTTTCGCTTTTACTTGTTTTAATTATAGTCCACAATGCTGCATGCTTTATTATTTTAAAATCATGGTTTTTGGAGCATCCTTCACAATATATAAGTTGGGCTCTTTTAAGCTGAAAACCAATATTTGTAATCCTTCATAGTCCGAAGTGTACCCCTTCAACTGCTTGTTAATGTTTAATGCTTCAACAATCCGTCCCTGCTATAAAGTAATACGAAATAGATGTTTTTTAGACAAATTGCCCACTATAGAACTCAAACCACTAACCTCCTCTTTAAGGGGGGAGAGGTTATACTATTGGGCTTGTTACGACAAACACGGCAAACCCAAGCAACAATTAAGAAACACAACAGAAAAAGTAAACACGCCACATAAAGTGCATAAGCAACCGAATCAGCATGTGAAAGGTGGCCTAATCTCCCTCGTAGGCCTGTCTTTAGCCACATTGTACTGCTGCAACTATGCATCTCCCTCAGTCCAAAACTGCACCTGCTCCCCAGTCGACAGATGACTATCCTCTAACTAAACCACTGCATGCTCCACCTGCTCACTCACATCCTGAGCTTTCCCTAAATCAACTATCTCCTTTTGCGGAGTAAGCATCGCAAACTCATAAAAGGTCAAATCCCTGCTAACAAGTGTCTTCTTTCTCGAAGCCTATGTATCATAATATGTATCCCTTGACCCCGGACTAATAACCAAGAAATTTGTATTTCTTAGCCATCGTTTCAAGCTTCCCTTCATTCACATGAGCATACGCTGGACACCTAAGTATTCTCAAATTATTTTAACTAGCAGGAGAACCAGACTATAACTCCTCCGGAGTTTTACAAACAACCCCTCAGCAGAACATTCTATATTGCCCCCAAACGCCCTTTTCTGCAACTCTTTGGAATTCAAAGTTGCCTCCACGTCTTTTATGGACAAAGCAGTTCTGTCATGCATCATCGTATCAACAAAGTTCTCAAATGAGGGTAGTAGAGAACACAACAGAATAATAGTCTGATCTTCATGCTCTATCTTGATATCAATATTATTCAAGTCCATGATGATACTGTTTACCTCGTCAAGATGGTCTTTCAGACACGAACATTCGTGCATCTGAAGAGTGAACAACCGTTTCTTTAGATACAAGCGGTTCGCAAGGGATTTCGTCATATACAGGGACTTCAACTTCTTCCACAGCTCATCCGCCGTAGCCTCAATAGAAAAATCTTATTAAAGGCCGGGATGTTGCAGGTGCATTGTTGTTGAAAGTCAAAAATAGTGATTGGTAGCACAAACATGTTGATACTCTTTGCACTTGCCTACTTTGCATTGTAGAGTCAATTTCTTGTCCTTAGACTCATCTTGTCATTCTTGGACTTGTTTTCTATGGGAACTAACACACCATGCCTCCACTGAGACTTGAACCCCCAACCTCCCTATAAGAGGTAGGTTCTTAGTACCTGGGCCACTGGCTCGTTGGTTATGGGAACTTTTTCAGTTCTTTTTTCATTAACATATACATAACGAGATTTTTTTGGGGGGATTTACCATCACTTTTAGTCTCATGAATTTTAGTTCTTTGGTCTTTTGTGAGTGTATATCTTTATTTTTCGTTTTTCACTCTAATTTTGTAAAGCTCCCTAAGAGCATCTCCAATGCCCTTTCAAAAGGCCTTAAAATATAGTAGGTGGATAAAGATAATACACTCTGGGCTCTCAAAAGACCTCTCATATTTTGAGATTGTCAAAAGTATTGCCATATATAGGAACTCTCAAAAAATTTTGAGAGGTCTCTTTTTTCTTATTCAGTGCTGTTTCTTACATGCATGATCCTAGCAGTCTCTCTCCCTTTCTTTGCCATTCTCTCTCTCTCCCTTTTGTTGCCATATCTACTATTTTGCAACCAGGATTGACGAAATTGCTGGTACGATCATGGGAAGATCAGGCTAGGATTTATATTTGTGTTAAACCCATTCTCTCTCTCGTCTCTCTCTCACTCATCTCTGTGTTCAACCAAAGCCAAAAATTTCTCTGTGTGTCGATCGAAAGCGGCGAGCTCGTCGAGGGCCAAAAATGACCTCACTGCCGATCTCTCTCGCTGCTGAATGTTATCTGTGTCCTTAAATCCAGATATTAAAACACTAGAAATTTTCTTATGTAATGAAACCTTAGATATTGGGGACGATTCAAGTCCACAGATATCTTCCATCCCCTCTCTCTCACTCCGATCACGACCCCATCAGGCCATCAAACATTTGTTCTTTACCATATGTATTTGGGATTTTTTTTTTTTTTTTTTTTTTTTGAAACACTTGATTTGTTATCTTGGAAATTGTGGCTAGAATCTGTGTATTTATTTGATGGGCTATTTTACCTGATAAAAGGTTTATCATTGTTTCAATCCGTCAACAAGAAAGGTTTATGTGTATTGGCATGTTCAATTTAATGAATAAACTGTTTATTTATTATTTATATTTTTTTTATAAGTATTTTCTCAAAGGGTTCGCTTCAACTTGCCAATATGATAATTAGATTATGGGTGTTGCCTCCAGCAGCCTCTCAAATTGAATTTTTTTTTTTGTTTTTAGAAAAATGAAAGTCACTCAACAATTGACAAGGCGGGGAAAGTCATTCACACCGAATGAAGATGTAGCAATTTGCAATGCTTGGTTGAGTGTCACCCAAGATCCAATTGTTGGTAACTCGTAATCACAAAGTAATTTTTGGAGTCGGATATTCCAAAATTATCTTGATCGCAACATCAATGAAAATGTACGAACACAAGTTTCTATCCAATCTGGTTGGGGCATAATCATGAAGTGTTGTGGTAAATATAGTGGGTGCCTCACACAAATTGAAAATAGGCAACAAAGTGGAATCAATGAAACAAATAAGGTGAGATTTTACTTTTCTTGTTACTTCTAATTTTAGTTTTTATATATCTAATTCTGTTTCATATCCTTTTTTAGGTTTTTTAAGCAAAAAGTATGTATTATGAACATGAGAAGAAACATTTTTCTTTGGATCACTGTTGGGCGATCTTGGAACATTGCATTAAGTGGGAAGATTGGGCATCCTCCAAAAAGCCAAAGTCTCTTGCAATTACTCCATGTTCCTCGACCTCATCCCATATTCCTGAAACATTCATTTCACTCAATTCCGATCAAGTTCTAACTGGAATTGCTATTGACTCCCCAAGAACCAAAAGGTCTAGTGGAAGGAAAGTTGCAAAAGAAGCATGTAGGAAAAGCAAGATAGCAGATACTTCATATACTCGTGTTTGTGATTTGATGGAAAAATTTAATAAAAATGCAAGTGAGAGTAAAACGAAAAAGTTCGAAATAGAAGAAAGAAAAGTTAGAGTAATGGAGGAAATGAATCAAAGGGAGCAAGAAAAGAAAGAAGCCAAGGAAAAAGAAAGATGATATGATTATGATGATAGACCTTTCCAGCATGGATCCTCGGATGAGATTCTTGCCAAATTGCAAGCACGCTTCTGCAAACCTTGATTATTATGTTTCTCTTCCTCATTTCCATGATTATCTACTTTTTTTTGTTATGCTTATGTATTTATTTTGAATTGCCATTATGGATTTTATTGAATTGTAGTATTGAAATGCCAAACATGGATTTGATGATTCATTTTTTTTAACTAAATAAAATACAAACACTTATCAAAAAAAAAAAAAAAAAAAAACAAGATTTTCATTGAAGTAATCTTTAATTAATCGTTGTTGCTAGAGATTCTATCACGGATGTATTGTCGATCGCTTATAGAACCAACATGCATAGTTGGTTGGTTATTTCGTTGCATTTTCCTTTTGGGAAATTTTGATGCTATAAGTTCCATAACCTCTGCGCTTTAATCTTCATTGGACGAAGAATCATTGAAATCTCCTCTCAAAATCGCTCTTCTAAAATTACTCATTGCAATATTAAAGTTATAATGAAGGAAAATAGTTTGTAGGTAAAGAATGATTGTTTTTATAGATGGAGAAATGATAGTTTAGAATTGTAATTAGTAATGGTAGTTGAAAAAGAATGGTTATCGTGTCAAAAAATAGCATTTTGAATAAAAACACTGTAACTCCTCTCAAAATATAGCTTTAGCATGAAAAATAGCATTTTGCATTGGGGATGTTCTAAGGAAATTTGTCCTAACATTGGAGTTGGGGTGTTGAAGTCTCTGCTTTGAAGGATACTTTAATCTATGGAGCAGTACACTGTCGTAGAAAAACTTTTTGCCTTTTTATTTAAGGAAAATTACAAATAGGTAGAGGTAAGAATTCTAAATAATAAAGTGGTTTAAGAGTTCAATTAATTACAAATGCATCAAAATAATAATAATAATAATAATAATAATATTGTTAAGGTCTTAATGTTCTGCAACTCTTATTTTGAAAGATCAAAATATTCTTATTAAACTCATATAATTGTAAAATATGAGTCTATTTGATAAATAAGAGCAATGTTCAACCATTTAAATAATAGCTTTTACTTTATACATGCAACTCTCCCTTAAAAATGAAAGAAAATTTGATAACCAATTTTCAAACATTCAATCGAGCTTTTAATTGATAGCTGGTGCAAAAACTAAGATGGATATTGGATACTAATGAGATAGAAAATGAATTTAACTTGAACTATGGCTCATATATATGAATTTAGTAGTAAAATGAATCAAATGAATTTAATATTGTCCCTTGTTATACCAAATAAATAATGACACAAACTACAAAAATGTTTGATGGTAAAACTGAACCGGTGTTTGTGTGTGAGGATGCGGCAAGTGGCATGGGCCGGATATGGTTCGATTTGACAGATTTAACTGTTCTTAGTCTGCAGTTGAATAAGTTGCAGGGACACATACCTCTAGAAATATGCCATCACAAGTCTATTCAGATCTTGGACCTCTCCCAAAACAACATATCTGGGATTATACCGTTGTGCTTCAATAATTTTACGACTTTGGTTTGGTGGAATAAATCTAGAGGAAACATTGCTCATGGCTATCATGCTTATACAAGTGGTTCTTCTTTTTATGAGAATATGTATGTAGATAATGCATTGGTGCTATGGAAAGGGAAAGAGAGTGAGTACAAAAATAATTTAGCACTAATAGGAGGCATTGATCTTTCTGGCAATAGATTAGTTGGAAAAATTCCTGAAGAAATCTTGAGCCTTGTAGAATTGAATTATTTTAACTTATCGAGAAATGAATTGAATGGACATGTCATTCAAAAGATTGGTGAGTTGAAAATGCTAGAATCTCTCGACTCGTCTAGAAATCAAATTTCTAGTGAGATTCCTACAGACATCACTCGTTTAAATTTTCTTGCTGTCTTGGATTTGTCAAATAATAACTTGTCCGGAAAAATTCCATCAAGCACTCAATTGCAAAGCTTTGATGCCTCTGCATATTCTGGAAATGATGAACTTTGCGGGCTTCCACTTCCAAATGAGTGCCCAGGAGATGAAACAACTATGGAACCTTCTGTCGGTAAAGATGATATCATTCAAGGAAATGAGGATGGATTCATAAACTGAGAATTTTATGTCAGCATGGGGCTAGGTTTTGGGGTTGGATTTGGTGGAGTCTTTGGCACTTTATTGCTCAAACATTCATGGGAACATGTCGTTTTCAAGTTCTTGAACAACATAAAAGATTGGATCTATGTGACAACAACATTGAATATGGCCAGATTGAGGAGGCGGGTTCAAATCTAATAGGTACATATCTCATATGGCTTTTTTGAATTTCCTACACTTTCACTCCAATTTTGTTTTTGTATTAGCTAGATTTTCAATACTTGAATGACACTATTAATAACAGTTCTAATTGTTCCTATGTGACAACAGCGGCGAATATGGCCAGAGTGTGGAGGCAGCTTCATAGCTAATAGGTAAATATATTTTTTTGATGTTTTTGAATTTGCTGCAATTGCACACCTTGAATTTCCTTTTCCATTAGCTAGATATTCAATATTTGAATGACATTATAACACGTTAAATCTAGTCATCAAAACTACCATATTTACACAACATAATAAAAAATAAAAATAAATAAAAGACAATTCCTCTAGTTGTCAAGTAATGTTAATTGTTGAATTTCACATTTTAATTAAACAAATTGCTTACATTGTTTATATTGTTCTATTGTTTTGCATTTTCGGTGTATGCTACTTCAAGTACTTGCAGGGCAACGTCGAGTTTTGCATACCCTCTAGCACTACAGCTGTCTCCTAGGCCTCTCTATTACTTGTACTAGATTTAGTTAATGTTGATTGAACACGGCCATATTGTGTTGGACTCTTTGTATGTATATTACATAGTTTGTTGTCTAAAATTTGCTTTCAAATGTACCATTTAAAAGAAAGTTTTTTATTTTTTATTTTTCATAATCTCGTTTTTTAATTCAATAATGTTATCATCCTCTAACAAGTTCAATGCTGAAACAAAGTAAAACATGTGCAGGTCAGTTCTTTACATACTAACCTAGGATTCTAGATGTTACCATACATAACATGGACTTGCCATGGTAAACAAAAATCCAAAAAGAAAATATATATATATATATATATATATATATATATTTTTTTTTTAGAGAACAATATTTTTTAAAGAACAATAGGGTCAACCATCAAAGAGCTGATGCAGCTCTACATTCTTCCTCATCTGATCCATCCGGAAGAGAGAGTTATATATAGTTGTAAAGGAAAACTACCCTCGGCCATTGCAGTTTTAGTAACATGATGATGTATTTCTCCCCCTCCCTTCCGCTTAATTTACAGTTTTGCATGCATCCTCCATTAATCTCAACTGGTTTATTAGTTACGAAGTTTATAATTCAAGAAAATCACGTGGCACATTTAATTTTTATAAATCTTATTTTATTTTTACTTTTATAATTTCAAATATACTGAAAAATAATACTATAAAATGTTCGTCTTTCATATTAGTACTCCATTCATATCAATATTATTTTAGTCACCTAATGAATATTTCTAGCCAAAACATTACTATATTATAACACAATATTCATCAACTAAAAGACTAAAACATAATTGGCCTATAGAAAACACAACAGGAACCTCTATTGAATCATTGCTTGCGGCAACTTCATCCGATGATCATTTAGGAAAGAAAAAAAACTTCATCCGATGATCTCCAACTCTCAAACGAATCAAAACTAAATGAAAAATTAGACAGAAACTTCAAAATATGGATGTATCAATACATTGCAGAATTACGTGTGTGAGAAATGTATCAATACAAATATATAAACATCTATATATATATATATACACACACACACACACACAGAGAGAATGGATAATTACGTGACATATGGGAGCTCTAACTGAACCAGATGTTACCAAGAGTCTTCTCCCATTAGCATCTAAAGTCATTTCATATCTAAAGTAAACTAAATCATCACGGTTGCAAAACCTACATAATGGAACACAATGATGTCACCACAGTTCCTTCTGCATAAATTAATGTACAATGATTCTGAAGATACCATTAAAAAAAGTTATAAACTATGCATACTACAACTAGGGCAAACTCAGTGCACGAGGCTCCCGCAATTACGGGGTCTAGTGAGGGTCAAATATAAGAAGCCTTATCTCCACATGCGAAGAGGCGGTTTCCATATTTCAAACTCGTGACCTCTAGGTCACAATGGAGAACTTTACTGTTGCGCCAAGGCTAATCCTCTATGCATGGTCAAATAACTTTCACGCAATATCAAGTACACCATACCATTAAAGAAATAAGATCATATCAATTTTATAAATTAAGAGAGACAATGGAAGTTGAACATACTACCATGGTATCAATCTAAAAAGTCGCACTACAAAACTTAGGAAGGTACCCTATTTAAGGACTAAGACATTTGATAGCTCAATTAATATAATAAGTGATTCTCCAATTAAGTATGTAATCTGAATATCACTTAATGAAATCAAATTTTAAGTGAAGACAACTTCATATACCACTAAAGACCACATTGTCGTTTCTTTTACTTATCAAAAATAAAAAATAAAGAACACTTGAATTAAAACAATCATTGAAGAAGTCCTCAATTTATAAACTTAAAATTCTCATCTTAGAATCAATGGTGCTTAATTTTAAGTGTTATGGGTTGAATGGAGGAGTGTTGCTGGTATATTATGTGATTGAGGTATAGCTCTAAAATATAAAAGGCAAATTTATAAACAACTATTGTATAAAACTAGCCATACTTATGGTATAAAATGTTGGACGGCTTGAAAATAGCACATTCACAAAATGAGAATCATCTAATAAATAAGGTCATCAAAGGCATTATTGAGAAGATAGAGAAAAAGAATGCATAGGATTGGCACAGATGTATGGTAATCTAATAAAGAATAAAATTAACGCATTCATAGGACGATTTAAAATGACACCAATAGGAGACAAAATGGGAGAGAATCAACAAAGATGGTTTGCTCATATACAGCGACGACTAATGAGGAAGAAGGATGTGGTCCATATTAAAAATAATGATAGGAGAAGAGGCAGACTAAACTAACATGGGTTGAATCATTGAGGAAAAGATATAGCAAGTAATTTAACAAAAGCTTTGGCCCTAAAGTTTTCATTTAAAAAACAAATCTGTAAACCGCATCCTGTAACACCTTCCCAAAAGAAGAAGAAATAAAGTATATGAATTTATTGCCTAAAACAGCGGAACCAGGGGACTTTAACACTCAATTGAAGAAAAACAATATTGGCCTAGGATACCAAATATGAATCATTCCATCAGTGGCAGCAGCTGCTAAAATCTTCCCATTGTGATTGAAACATAAGTAAGTAATTGCAAGTGGATCTTTACCAAGAGGAAGGACTACCTTAAATGAAATCGAGAAAACAATAAGGCTTAATTATTCTCATTGAAATTGATTCCTACATTGACATACAAATTTCTGAGACAAACAATCCATACCATAGCCTTCCATGTCTTCATGTTCCAGACAGTTAATGATGCAAAACCCAACTTATCAATATAATTTGTCCCATGCCTACAAAGATGATGAGGTTGTAATAAGTTTTTGTTCAACCATATTTAAAGAACAAATAAACAACTGTAATGATAACACAATTGAACTTTTTAGAACAATGTCTAAAGCAAGGATAATATCCACAAGTATTAAACAAGTTCTCCAATATTCACGGAAACACAACATGGTTCTACCATTAAAAATAAATAAACCATGTTAAAATACCATAAAATAAAATCATATGAGCTAGTAGAAAAATATGAAGCTTTAGTTCATCAAATTTAGTCAAAAGAAAGAGAATGTAAAGTTTGATAGAAACATGTGGTTTACCATAAATTAATTTTGATACAAAACTTTGACCATGTGATTATTTCGCTTTCAAACAGTCAGGTCCACATCTTGGAATTGACATAATCATGTTTAAATAGTAGACAGCCCAATGGTGCAATGAGGTGCACCTCATTCTGGCTTTTCTCTTTCAATAATACTTGTTTCCTTACTCATCTTCAAAGTTCAAAACATCGCTCTCACCGTTAAAATTACCTAACACATTCAATTACGTCATCTATATAAATCTAAATAAATCATGCCACATTAATAAAGAATAGTGCACTCTTGTTTCCATTCCATGTTCCGTAATAATTGTCATTCAAAGTAACCCTGGTTGGGTACACATTTGTCCACCATTCAGTACATTTTTTTCCCTTAATTAAATCACAAACAACCATTTCCTCACATCATCATATTGAACCTTGTCCTTCTGGGATTCTTATCTCTGTTATTATTTCGAGATGAATCTAACCACTATTCTATACATAACGGCTTCTATTGTACACAACGAACCATCTTAAATGATTGTTCTACATGTCTTTTCAACAGTGAACCTCTAACTTCTCATGAATGTATCCATTTGTTACATTAATGTTTCTTGTATTACCAGTCATCATCACAAAATCCTCATTTCAGCCATAATCATTTCATGAGCATGCTTCTTGATTGCTCAAAATCCCCATTTCATTTGATAATTAGTTTATACTCACAACTCTGCCATAACATTTCTTACTTTATGCATTCCACTACTTTTCTATGGGCAACATCTTTCAATCATCTAGTGGCACGAATAGTCTCTGCTCTATAATAATAAATAAGTTCTTCAGAAATCCCATGGTTCAAAGCAGTGGACGCTAACGACTCAAATACCTAAAAGCCTATGATATTTTTTTCCATCAGGAAAAATCCAACTATAATAGTAATTAAAGACCACATAAATTTAGAACTTCTTCGGTTTGGATTATTTAAGCTGATTTGATCACAAGGGTGGACTAAAGCTTTTAGTTTGAAAATTGTATTTTAGTTAATTAAATAAAAGAGTAAGTATCCAATGTGGTCGTTATAATACCCCTAATTTTAAAAGGATAGTCTCGGTATTTATTTATTTATTTTAATTGTATTTTTAATTATTTAATTGATTATTTGACTAATTGCTTATATGTTTAATTGAATTAGGTATTACTTGATTATTTGATTATGTGTCTATGTATTATTTGTATTTGTCTATGTGTTAATTGTTTAATTAAATTATGTGCTTAAATGGTATTTTGATTAATTGTAAATTAAATGTTTTCTTTTCTTTTATTATTTTATTTTATTTTTCATTTATGGTTATGGTTAATAGTAATGGGTCAACCAATTGGGTCTCATGAATTATTTGGATAGGAGGTTGGATGTGTATAGATTATTACCCATGGATAGTTGTGTATGTATATATATAGATATATATTATATACATATATAAAAATGAAAGTAATTTATTAATTACTTTTATGGTAACTTGGGTAGTAATATTTAATTTGATATATATGTTTTATATTTAAATAATAAAAATATATGAAGATGCAAGAAATTCATTCCCTCTTTCTCTCTCTAGAATTCTTACACTTCAACCAAAAGATCCCCCTCTTCTTTCCATTCCTTCCCTTATTTATAGATATTTACAAGATATTTACAAATATTGACGGATTGCTGGATCTGGGCCTGTTCCTCCATAAGTCCTGGTCACCTTTGATGGGCTTATTCGCGTTCGGCCCATATGGCAGTGTCTTTTTATGGGCCGACCCAGCTGTACGGACCGGATGTCGTGCTCGCAAGTCAGATCCGGCCCATGTCGTCCTGGGCCTCCTCAACTGCCCCCATAATTGCCCCTTATTTAATAAGGGGGTAATTATTGATGGCGTCTCATCATGACGTTGACGGCTCGAGAAAACCACGTGGGGGAACGAACGGTCAGATCCAGA